TAGCATGGGGGAATGTTAAGAATGCTGCTGTAGCCAATGCTTGCAGTAACTTATGAGTTATGGTAACTGGCTCAAGTGGTTTAGCATCGTGATGCTAAAAGGATGGTTAGTGCGTGTTTAAATTTATGGTTAAGACTGCATATGTCTGCATAATAAAGTGTATACTTATTTTAGGCTCGCGCAAAGGCTGAGTTAGAGTGTTCCACATACCTTAGGATGGGTTGGTAGCTTTAAACCTAGGTTTAGTATATTGTGTGGCCCTCAAGGCAGTTGCGCGTGGGCCCATACAATTGCGTCTAACATTAATACACTCACTTCTGCATTTGCACACACAAGCACACATCACTTCTACCGCTGCCCTTCTTATATCCTTCAAAAGCTAAGATGGCGCTCAACGCGCAAGTCCGATTTCTTAAGGTTTGCTGAAAGGTAGACAGCAAAGAAAGTTTCCGGAGGTCCGACTACGTAGATGCCTACCAATCGAGAGATCGCGTCTTTCGCTTTAGTGGCGGGATCTGCCGAGTAAAGGCCGTATTCCGCACGAGGGTCTAAGCCCGAACGTAGTTACGAGCGCAGGGTAGCCACTCTGTGAGCAGCCTCCAATTGCTACTCCTGTGCCTCGTCGAGGTGAGTGGTAATACTACCATTTCCCCCGAAGCCGTGAGATCGAGGAACGGATATGGTGTCCGCAGGGCTTGAGCTTGTCATCCCATGCTGGGAAAGTAGTGACCGACTCGTAATCGATTTCCTCCAAATTCTCGACGAGGAACCGTCGTCCGGGCGGGCGCGCTGTGTTGCGTTCGGTTGCCAAGGGCTTGGATTGTGCTTTCCGTGAAGCCGCGGACGTACTGTCCGGAGATGCACCCTGTGCAGAAGAATAAAAAGGGTTTTGCCCGCGGGCGCCCTCGCTACCAGCTAGGCTGGGTGTTTTGCGTGTCGTAGACACAGCGCTCATAGAGCGGAGAAGGTTAAAGTTATTCTTGTGAACGTGAAGGTGTCTCAGACTCGCGAGTCTGGTACGAGGCGACCATTCAATGTGAATTGAGGATATCCACAATTATTATGAGGGAGAGTGTGACGGATTTACATGTACCATTGTAAGAAAGGGCGGGTCGCACAAGATTCTGCGAACGTAACTAGGTGTGTATTACACAGTTAATGTAATCATACAGTGGTGTGTTACACCGTAACTAGAAGCCACCACGTGGCAGGATTGCCAGTAGTAATGCATGTTACTATATTAGTAAGGTTTTGCCATATTAATTAGGTTTTGCTATAATAATTAATATTCCTATATTAATTTGATAGACCTAGGGTTTCAGATAGTGGTGGCTCTACCACAACAAAACACTTAAATACAGTTTCGATTTTGAACAGAAATGTTCGTTTGCCTTGGTTAAGGCTCACTACTTAGCAGTGACGGATCGCGATTCGCTACACTTGTACTGGTTTTTGGACAGAACGTAAGGTCGGTGACCTTGCGTTGCTACCTCTGAGCAAAGTGCTACGCCTCCCCACTGCAGTGCAGATCCATGAATATTTGTTCGTCTCGATAATGATGACAAGCCTCATGTGTACATCGTACTCTATGAGTATGATCTGCTTGTCGGTACACCACGGATGTTGATGTGGATGCGATTTGTGCTGCACTTTGTGCCAAATTCACTGAGAAATCTCTTGGCAATGCTAGATATGTGATATGTTTTCGGGATGGAAATTGAGTTTGCACCACAGATAATGGAGCTTGTGTTGAGGCAGACCCAGTTTATAAAGAGAATGCTTGGGCAATTAGAGCAAACCGAAGCAAATGCTACTTGATGGTGCTTGGTCAGGACCTTGCGCCCGACGAATCGCATGAGGGCACAAAGATGCTCGGGGCTGCATAGAACGATTTGGGTCTCATTATCTCATCGACAATGCTACCAGCCCCGACATTAGTGTTATTTTGTCGACACTGTTGCAGTACCTGAATTCTCCATGTGAAGCGCACTGGCGGGCGGCAGTGCGCGTCCTGAACTATCTCAAAGGCATATCTACACATGGGGTATGGTTCTGCGCTAAACAAGTGATCGACTGACCATCTAGAAAACACGATGTCAAAAGGAATAGATTTGCATACAACGCTTATGCAGACGCAAATTGGATAGGTGGTAAGCAGACAAGGCGCTCATCGTCTCGATTATCATTGCTGCAAACAGGTTAGCCGGTCGTGTTCAAGAGCAAGCGGCAGACTGCGATGGCTGAAGCAGAGTATATGGCACTTGCTTTGACCATGCAAGAGGTCATTTGGCTACACTACCCGCAGGTTGAGATGGGGTTTATGGCTGATGGCTCCACTATCGTTCGACTAGACAATAAATCGGCGATTAGTATGGCTACTAATCAAGGTCACACGCCTCGCGCGAAGCAAATTGACCTACACTCAATTTGTGCGAGACCACGTCGGAGCAGGACGCATCAAGCTAGCGCGCGTACCCACAGAGGATCGACTGGTCAATTTTTGTACTAAGGCGATGCCGACGCCTCGCCTGTTGCTGCTATGTCAGAAGATCAGGATCGACATTGCGCATGTTGAGGGGTAGTTTTGAGATATTGTGAGACCACGGCATGGTTTTGTGTACGGTGCACAAAGTCGACTTGCAAGTTGAAATGATCAAGTTTGCAAGGTATTTTAGAACAAACGTCAGTGGTTGGGAGCTGTTAGGGTTCCTATAGTTAATTTACTTTTATTTTGCGCTGCGAGTAGCAAGACATTGTCAAAAGCTAAGCATCACAGGCTTTTGTTCGCCCAAGCAGAGAAACATTATACTTGAAGACTTGAAGAAGCACTCGCATCGATAATAATGTTGAACCGTATCGGGAAATTTCCGAACGTTGAGAAGGAAAATTAGCAGGTTCTCGCTGATGAAAACTTGCAGATTCGTATGCTGCACTATCTGTCACAGCACACACAGCAATACTAATCTACGCTATATTTTGTGTACGTATGAAAATTAGACAGCTACTATCACGCAATACATCTAAATAACTCTGGCTCGAGCTCTTCTTTACGTATGGATCTGATAGTGCCTTAGTTTGTTACTGATGCGATCCGGGTAAGTCTAGCATTGACATAAGCTATGGCGATCTAGTATATATTGATTGTATTACCCGTTTTGGTTGCTGTTCCTAAAGCAGCTCGAGCTCTAGCCGAACACATCAAAATCAAGAGCAACATGTACCTAGATACTCGAGCAGCTCTCGGTTCTGCGCTTTGATGATGGGCACATCCTCTGTGCGTTTGGGGCGCAAACACTTTGAGTCAATTTTTTCTCTGTGCAAGGTGCACGACAACCCTGTTTCATTCGGTAGCACTCATCGTCATTTACACGGCCAAGTCGCGAGATGACTGTTTTCTCGATGAAATGTAACACAACTTAATAGAGTACAGATTACAGTAAAAACTGGGAACGGTCGGAATGCTTATCTATATATTACTTCTAAGGATGGCAGGGGACCGGTAGCCCAAACGCCAGACGTGGTAATCACTTGCCAGTAAGGCGTCCGCCTGCTATGAGGGTGCAAGGCTACTCAGTGTACCGGAAATTTGTGGGAACACGGATGCCACCCATCGTGAGGCCGCTGATGCTTAGCATACAGCCCTATGAGGACGTAAACGGAAAGACTTCCTTCGCCTGGTTAGATAAAGCTCAAGCGGCCATAAACAGTACCGATGTTCTAGACAAAGCAATAACGCCAAGCGCATGTGGTCTCTACGGTATGGAGAGGTCACTCGCTAGATTGGGCACTAACGTACAGCACCTCTGTGAAGAAGCATTTCTCACATCGGAGATTTGAAGCGACATTATTTCGTGAGTGTTTGCATCGGTCGGCCCGGCAGTATAGGTGTGTCTTAAGTTCTTGTCCACTCGTTTACTGAGTCAAAAATGATGAAATATGTCCTAAGGCTAATTACTCTTATTTCCGCAATGATATCACTCTGACGTTGGCGTCAACATTAACCATGGTCGGTTGCATTTTATTCAGTAACTCTAACCTGGTTGATGAATATTTTAAACTACTTTTGAGGGACTGACAGCCTCTCTCCCTCGAGCATGGTGCTGTGAGGACTGCCAAATAAACGAGCGAGACTCAATCCTCTGGTGACGCAACTTTTCAGGCCACACTGTCGCTATATACAAACCTAATTTGACTATAGTCATTGACAGCGACAAAGAAGGTCTACTTGCAATATAGCGTACCCTTGTCAATTTCAATTTCAAGGTGTGCCTGCTCGGATCTATCCCGCTTGTGATCTATACAGATCATGAAATATTGCGCGCAGCAACGTCGTCAGTAGAGAATGGCAAGATGGATATTCTCAAGAATTTTAGAAAATGCCTTTGGGGTAAGGGATAACAGGGACGGCTTATGGTGGTGAATGCGCTTTTTCATCGCTTTAGTATTTAGAACTCTTTCATATTGACTTTAATTTGTTTTCCTTTCATATACGAGGCATGCATATTAAAAAAAGAATGTCCATGTCTCTCATCCACAAGTTTTGGTATTGAAAGATTTTTTTATTTCACAGGAGCTGTTTCATCTGGACCAGGAGCATCGCGTTTACATATAAAGAACGCTTTTGCGTATATACTAGTCTTATCATGAAACTCTTTATTATTTATCTGAAGGTTATGCCTAGATGTTTTGCTTTGGAAGTCTTTGTTTTTCTGTAAGCATCGTACGTGCTTGATCCCGAAAAGCTTCTATCGAATGCATAGCTTTATTCATTTTAGTGTAATCAAAGTTGCTCATATGCTTTATAAAGTTGTCGTCATTGAACATCTCGTACATGAAGTTCGCAAGAGCTTCCATGTTTGCATCTGCTTGAGTTTGATGCGATACATTCTTACATTTCTTCGTCGATTTGGATGTAAAAATGGTCTCTTTTGGTTAGTCGGGGCCGATCATGCCATAAAAAGATGGCTTTGATCACTTAAGAGCTTTTTTTTAGCTTACTAGTGATTTGATCATAGTCATAATCACGCGATTTGCTCATGACCTGTTGAACAATTTGCCAAAGAATTGCTGCTAGCGCCATCTAGAGCTTGCTGCTGACACAAAGCTTTAAATCTCACACCTTAAAGAAACCTTGGCGATAAAATTGAATAAGCGATCGTAAGCGTTTTGCTTAGAACGAATCGGTGATGCAATTCCTATAGTTGGGATAGCAATCAGCATTAGTGATGTCATCAAACCACCATCAATACCAGACTTTAACATTTCTTGCACAAATAAATCGTAACCAGAGTTGACTGGGTTATTTCACACAGGAAGATTGCCAACGGTTGCGTGTAAATTAAGTAACGCGGCAAACGGCAAAGTAAAGGTCTGCGGAACAGATTGATTACGTCTGAAAAGGGACTGGGTCCTGTAGACATATTCGTGAGGACAGGTTGCATGATCGATTCTGTGGATTGAGCAATATCGTTCATGATCGTCCATTCGAAGATTGAGTGGTGAAGTTGTTGGTGACACGCTCAAAGTAATGGAATGTCCTCCTTGGAATGAGACTGGTGGGTTTGGACTAAGTTGGAAGTAATAAACGAATGTCCTCCTTTGAATAAGACTGGTGGATTAAGACTAAGTAATAAACGAGAGAATGCATAAGATAGGGCAATAACACTTACAAGCGCTACTTCGATCCGCTTGGATTGCGTGATTCCAAAACATAACTCATATCACGAAATCGATATCCAATATCGTCAATTCGGGCATTGTGGGCAATGTTGATTACTATGCCTCGACTACTTTCAGAACGGAAAAGAAGACGATAATGAAATTTCGTGATTGCATTTTTTAAACTCTCAAATTTGTAGATATGGTTGGCTTCATCCCCGAGCAGACGCTTGAAACATCCGCGAGAATCTCAACCTTTGACTTCGCATAGTTCATCTTTATTACTATAAATAATAAAAATACATCACTTCGAAGACTTCGCCATCACCAAACTCAAGGCTTTCTCTCAAATGTTAACATTTGACTTCAATATTTCAGTGTCGAATGTTAATGGCTTTGCGTTGATTGTCAGAATGTAAACTCTATAATAATTATTATCAACGTATTAAATGCCCGTTTTTAATTTAAATCAATATATCTATCAGAAATGAAAATAATTAAGCGCTTCTTCCATGCTCTAATATTGAAAAAGTCCCCCTGACTAAGGTTTTTCCTGAGTTTCCGCATAACAAACTGGCTCTAAAATTCTGCCCAACTTACTTTAGTTGCTAAATGTGTGATATTGCGATAGTTCAGTGACTTTTCAAATCAGGTTTCAGAAATTTATAAACACTTCTAAAGTTTCATAGTTAGATTCACTCTGATGCTGCGTCGTTCAGAAAGGCAATTATGGCAATGCAAGACAACCCACATTAGGATAAGGTGACATTCCGCGATCATTCTCTTGGGGTCCACAAGTGGATGAACGTAATGGAATAGGTTTAATTGTCCGCTTAACCTGTGCATAAAATGATATTTTGAATACCCTAGACTCCACTTGGTACCATGTAGTTCTATGTAGTACTTAAATACACAACATGACATCGACATTCATTATCTAGAGAAAATAAACACTATAGTCTTCCTTTATCTTAACAGCTGATCAATTAAAGACGTGTTCTCGATTCGGGTGGGAAGTTACAGATTGCGTAATCTACCTTCAGAATGTTTCTTCGGGTGTTTTGTTTCTGTATGGAGCGAATAGATTATTGGGGGCATTTTTGTAATCTTGTGGGTCCTTTAATAACATATGTGACATATTCTGACGACCATAATTAAAAAAATAAAAATCATGACAATTTGGCTGTTGTATGCTTAGATTTATGTCGCCACATGTTGACGCTGTGATACTTATACTGCAAACTTACTATAATTGCTGAAAGTGTAATCCTTTACTTCCTGCTGAGATAAAATATACCATTTCACCTAATTTGTTCTGCTCTACGTCTTGTACATACTGCCACATGTAGGTTCAGAAAAACATCCTGTTGCACCGTAAACACGCGTTATAGGTCCTTGCATCATTCTTTACGACAATATTTATAGTCGTGGTGCTGCTTATCACTCGCAATGTGGACAAACACTTTACAGCAGAACTGCTGGCAGCCTGTCATATGTGTGAACACGTAAATAATGGACACGTTCGACTCTTTGTACTCTATTCATACATGGCATTTGTTCGAACTGAATACAAAGCGAACAGACAAGCCGACATCAGTAGGTATCCCAGCCAAGGTATCACTATCATGACAATGTAAATGCTGCCTGCCTTTCCCACCAACTCATTTTTTGATTTAAATAGCAGCAGATTTTTACTCTGAAAGTCTCTGTACTTTTTGTCTTCGTGGTTACAACAGCTAGCTCGTTCTAATGGCGTCTTCATTCCTGCTGGCTTTTGAACTACCAGCATCTCACCCCCAGCCTTATCCAAAGAATTGGAGCGATACGGATCAGCAGATATTTGAGACCTTGCTACTGCCGTCTTCTTCTTCATCGTCGTTCTCAGACTTGTCCGACTCTGTCACTTCGATCGAACTAAAGTCTACTAAGAAGAAGACACGGAGCAGCCGCAAACGAGTGACTATAGAGGAGAAACGCATCAAACATCGCGAAGTTCAGCGTCGCTTTATGCAACGCAAGAAGGCGATGCTGGAAAGTGCCAAGAAGTCCATTGTGACACTTGAAAAGCAAGTGGCAGTGCTTCAACTTTCGAACGAACGCGAAGCTCTCGCAAAAGAGAAAAGAAAGCTACAACTACAAGCAGATGCAAATGCTGCGTTGCCAGCAGCCACACCGACACTTGATGTGCTTGAGATGATATTTAATCAAGAAGGAACAGCCGTGGAGCAGCTATTTCAAGCTTTTACTGTGCACCAGTGGCAGGAGCTTTTGTATCAAACGCTACAGAGTGTGGATGAGATTTTCACGCAAGAGGCGATGAAAGCTTCGGGGATGCATGTAATGGGTTGGTCCGATAGACGCCATGTTGAAAATACCAGCGTCAAATTTACGTTACACAAGACTTTCCCACACGTGTGTGCTGAGAGTATTTGGAATATTACATGGCAACGATTAACTACTGATAGCTATGGAAGTTTCTTTAGTCCATCACTGTTTATACGGGTCAGTTGGAAGACTTTTTTTAACTTAGCTCTTATCAATGTTCTCAATTTTTAATTGTGTATTGTAGAAACGTTTGCTACAAAAAGTGTGTGACGATGCCATCATCATTTACCGAGTGATATGTTACCCTCAGACTGGAAGAGTTTCACGTGCAATCGAAGTGATGAGTCGCGTTAGAAGACAATCCGACTTTGTCTATTTTATTCGTACGCTTGACTTACCAGATGTCAAGGAACGAGTATGTGCCACGGATATTTGGACCCAATCATTGACGGTGCTGCGTTTCATGCCGAGTGACTTGACTCGTCCTCAAGTTGGATGTACAGTTCAATATGGTGGCAACTACGTCAACATACCGAAAGGTGGCGTCAGATACTGGCTAATGGAGGTTTTGTTTCTTGTGCTTCGATTTGAAGCGTCATTAATCTCGCCCATGTTTTCATTAAGCAATTGAGTCTATCAGTCTACATATGAAATGTTTATGTAATTTATATGCTATTCTAGACTTATTGTACAACAAACATTGTCGATATTTGTTACTAGTGATTGTCTAGCAGAAATATATTGTGGTGAATGCTTGTTGAAGATGAAAAAGATGCGAGTGAGTTTAATAAGTAGCAAGACACTGATTTGGACATTTATGTGTCTGAGATGTGCACATAAGTATAGATGGACATTTCAATAATATCCTAATTTTTCAGAAAAGTAGGCCATATCTTACAAAAAGCGATGAAATATAAATATTAAAGGTTTGTTTGACTTAGAATAGGTGCAGATTATACCACTGACTAACTGCGATTTCGACGCAAAAGCGTGACACAAGAATAGCCACTTGATCGACTTGATATAGTTAGTTTTAAACCAGGCAAAGTAGAAATTCTATGGCTGTAAAACAACTATGTTTTATGTATCCGGTTGGCATGTGTCGATTGTACCGTATAGCTTTGCCCACTGCGGCAGTGGCACCTCAAATTTCCAATTCGCCGACTCATATCGATAAGAATGCAACCACAAATTTGCATCTCCGACATCTACAGCCACATCTTTTTTATGCTCAGCAGTGCAAATTTCGCAAGCTTGAACGCATTTATCCTCGGTGTTTCTCAATATTTCTTCCTTGAAATTAAAAGACTTTGCAGTGGGATGAAGTATGCTTGAAACTTGTTCCAATGCAGCTTTCGTTTGCTTGTCATTGTTTTCAGGACCGTACAGCGGATCATTTACAATAGGAAACCCCAGGTGTTGCAAATGCACTCGAATTTGATGAGTTCTTCCTGTCACAAGGAGACATTCAACAATGCTTTCACCACCGATCGGGGTTCCACGACGACGCAGCAGCGTCATACATGATTTGGAATCGGGTGACGCAATCACACATCGTTTGTGTCCTTGGCGTGGTGACATCAAACCAATTGGAGCTGTCACGCGCCAGAATTCGTCACTAGCGCTAACAATTTTTACAAGTTTTGAGGTGAGCCGAGCAAATCCACTTGCTGTAGTCGGAAACTCGCCTTTTACGCGTGCTACATAGAATTTTTGTACAGAACGATAGTCAGCATCTCCATCCAAAAAATTAGCTGAAAGCTCAGACGATAGGCTTCGTGCTTTATCGGGAGTTTTGGCGAGAATCAGCAGTCCTGATGTTAGTCGATCCAATCGATGAACTGGAAACAACTCGAATGTCTGGAACTTCTTTTTTACTGCAGCATCTCGTCGATCATGCTCTAGCATTAAAGTTAAAGAATTAAATTGATAATTTCCAGTTGGATGCACAGGAACCCCCGATGGTTTGTTTACGACCATTAACTCGTCCGTTTCTGCGTGGATCCACGTTTCGGACAACGACGACAATGTCGACATTTCCATGACATTTTGCAATGGCAAATGAACATCAGGCTCATGTCGATGTTTGATATGCTCAAAGAAGTCTCCAGCATTGATCACCGTATCTAGCAGCACATTGTTTCCGTTCACACGAATTAGGCCCAACTGAGCAGCTCGCACACAGTATTCAGTCGAAAGGGTCGGAAATTCATCGGCGAAGATTTCACACAGTGTGCGACCAGCCCAACGGCCTTTCACATACAGCGCAAAGTGATGTAAGTATGGTTCAATACTGCGCACGATGCAGTTGTTTCCTATTATTCGATTGTTACAAGTGGTGGACGTGCACGCTTTGTAGTGGACGATAGCGGACAGCGACTCATTTTCTATCATCCGAGTTTGACGCTCATTCCGACGCTTCCGTCTTGAGACCTTGATACCTTCAGCTATTTGCATTGACTTTCGGTCTGCCAGCCATTGAGCTTTCTTCTGTTTTCGCCGCTGGTTCTTACTTATTAAAGAGATGTCCGTCATTATAAGAGTGGATCAAGTAATTATGGTCTAATTCTTAAATGTAATATATCTTGTTACTCATATTACATAAGTAGACCCCTCACTTATTAAACCCCTATGCTGCCCCTATCTAAGCTGCCATCTGTGCTTCCGAATATCTGTTACGTCCGTAGCATCTCGCAGCGTGTGCGTACACTCCCGGACAATGTATTCGCCGAATTTTCTGCTCTAGCAGCTAAACACGGGGCCGTGAATCTTGGTCAAGGTTTTCCGACATTTCAAACCCCACACTTTGTACAACAAGCGGCAATTAACGCTATCACCAACGGAAATAATCAATACACGAGACCAGGAGGACATGTGAGCTATGTCGAAACATTAGCAGAAATGTATTCATCGTTATTTCGTCGTGAACTTAACCCCATGACAGAAATAGTGACATTTAATGGAGCGCAAGAAGGAATTGCGTCCATCATGGCAGCAGTTCTTGAGCCTGGGGATAAAGTTGTCACATTTGAGCCCTACTTTGATGCGTACATGACTGTTTCCCAGCTGCATGGTGTAAAGTCAGCTGGTGTCCCCTTTCATTTCGATACGACCAAACGTGCCGCTTTCTTGAGTGAGAATACTAACGTGGCCGAGCACTTTACGTCACGTGACTTCCAAGTAGATCTGGAGCTATTGGAGACCAAATTGACTCCCGAGACCAAAATGCTTATTCTCAATACACCGCACAACCCACTTGGAAAAGTCTTTTCAAGACATGAACTTGAACAGCTTGCACATGTCCTAGAGCGTCATCCAAACGTTATCGTATTAGCTGACGAAGTATACGAATTTATGACATTCGATGGACTTAAGCACGAACGTATCGCGTCATTGCCTGGATTTTTTGATCGAACTATATCCCTCTTCAGTGCCGGCAAAACCTTTTCATGTACAGGCTGGCGAGTAGGCTACGCAGTGGGACCAGCACACTTGATTGGAGGCATCATCAAGGCGCACAGTACGGTTCCTTTCTGTGGTACAACGCCATTTGAAGTGGCATTGTCGTCAGCTTTTCATCAGGCAAAGCATAATGGATATTACGACGAACTGAGGGAGACGCTACAGGTAGAAAGAACCAGCAACAGATTGTCCTGAGTGGTTATTTCTAATACAAACACTTGCACGCTCTAGGCCAAGCGCGACCGTCTATGCGCTGCACTGCAAGCATACAGCTGGCGCCCAATTGTTCCAGAAGGAGGCTACTTCGTGTGTTGCAACGTGGAGGGCCTGTCGTACTACGATGAGTTTCGGGGTACAAAGGTTACGCCAGAGACGCCCAAAACGGTAAGCATTCTGTCTTTTGCGAACGGTAGTGCCTTAAAAGCTAACAGAACAAATACTCATTCAGGAGTTACCTGACTACCAGTTTGCGCGAAAACTTGTCAAAGCTGGCCATATGGCAGTGATCCCAACGTCACCTTTTTATAGTCGTTCAGAGCATCGTCTAGCTCCGGGTGTTGTGCGTCTTGCTTTTTGCAAGGATGACAAGACACTCGATGATTCAATCCGCGTCATTGAGTCTTTGAAGAATTAAAGCATAGGTGATTAGCATCAATGCCGCTGATTTTGCTGCACGTACTGTCGAATTTTTTCTGCAGTCGTTTTTGAAATCCATGGCAACATCCGTCTCCAATGCATCTCGTTAAATTTTGAAACTGGTACCTGCATAGCTGAAAAGTTTTTGAATCGAAAACTCAATGAAAGTGCACTATCCAGCGATATATGCGAAATTGAACGGAAGAACTTAAGTCGTGATGCAAAATCTGCATCGAGCGCATTTGCACCTTCAAAACTGAAGTTTGGTTGACACAAACTGGGAAAAGGTAACTCGTAGCCTTCAAGACGTTCCTGATATGCCATTTGATGAAGTTGTACGCAAAGAGCCTTAGGGTGAGGCTGAATTATGACACTAGCATTCGAAAGCTGTCGCAACTGTTGTAAGTCGGGAAGATCAGCGCTGTTCTGAACAATTGCAATAATAATTTTTTGATGCATTGCCATAAGCATTCCGACTCGCTGACTATTGGCCACGTTTTTTGTTAAAGATGCGAGAGCCAATTCGTTTAGTTGTTGGCTCGTAACGATAAGCACTGCTGTGCGTACACTTACTAAAGCATCTGCTTCAGTTGAATCGACGACGACAATAGTACAGTCGACATTCTTAGCAGATAAAAATTCGGAAAAGATATTTGATTTCGAGAACTCCGTGTTGACATATATAATCCACTCTAATTTTTCTGGTAATGGCCTCGTTAGATCAACGGTCGATGTCATTGAATGCTGAGAATGACTGCAAGGGTTTCGATGATTATTTACACACGCTGATTGGAAATCTCTTTCACGGGCAGACGGAGTATTGCCTGACGAAAATACTCGACCCTGAGCCAGAGAACATTGCAGCTCAGCCTGTCTACAATCCTCAAACTTCTGAATAGGTTTCAAGCGATCTGCCTCGATCTTCTGTAATGGCTCTTGACTGGAGCCATCAATCTTCCTTAAGTGTCGCTCAAAGGGTTTTGCACAGTCATGGACCGAGCATTTCAATTTTCCAGGTCTTGTTGATGATATTAAATAACCAGTTTTAATAAAGCTAGAAGACGGCGTATCTTTAAGGAAGGTCATTTCTTTAACCGCTTTATCAGCGTCAGGATTCTCATCGACAGACTGAATTGACTTCGCAGCCTTCAGCAAATCAAAACTAGGTGAAGAATCAGCTTCAGGAGCACTGTCGTCTTCATCGGACTCAATTAAAATAGAAATAGCACGTGCAGGGGCTGGAACCACAGACGTCATTTCTGGGCGATCGCGCATCTCGTCAAGACATGCACGGATAATTCCATTGGATGGAAGCGCTTTGAAGTGCCTTCCACCACGGCGATTCATCAGTGGAGAATGTTGTGATTCAAACAGCGACCGCGCATAGATTGCTCTCATATCTGGTTTGGACTTTTTCTTTTTAAGCAACTGCCTGTTGCCATTTTCTTCAGAAGAATCGAATGATTGGGAACAGGAAAGCTGCGACGAATCGTCAATGAATGAGTCATCAGCCGCACCTCGAGAATCGTCCTCATACTCATCGTCTTCGTCATCATCTTGTCCTCCACCTTGGACGTCAGCCATGTTATCAATATACGCAGCTGTCAATACACGAGACATCTCCCGGCGCCTTTTAGACCTTTTGATGTGCTTTTGCCATGAAGGCGACGTCGCAACTAGCGATGTCTGCGCTCCGTTCTGCGATAAAATCTCGCTTTGCGACTGGTAGTCATACTTGCGTTTTAAACGTCGAAATGTTTTAAACTTTTGTTCTGAATCAGCAGGTGACACTAACAAGTAGCTTGGAGACGAAATATTGGCTGAGGGCATGGGCGAAGGTGGGCTGCGACGCCGTTTGTTAGCCGCCACGGGTGTCTTTTCCTGCTGAGGGTAATAGCAGGGAGCAACTGAGTTGCGGTGTAGTGGACAGTATGCCAGAAACAGAGTGTCACATCCATTATCTCCTCCTTCACTGCCACAGGATTCGACCTGATCCATGCGATAGTGCGCAAAGGCGGCACAACTGACATGAAAAGCGGTTAAACATTGATTGTGCGCGCACTGAATAATGCCATAACCCTTCTGTGAGTGGCACAAAGAGCAATCAAGAGTTTTGCGATCCGGGTCTAGACTCTTTATGTCACCAAGAGCAAGCAAATCATCCCCTTTTTGCTCCACACTAAGTTCTGGAATCCATAGAAAACACTGGACATGAACCCATTGGCGGCATGCCGTACGCTTATACGCACCGCCGCGATGTGGACAAAGCAGACAGTGTGGTTGACTAGAAGCAGCTCTACCATCATTGCTGATAGCCTCGATGCAGACGGCACAAAACCACTTGTCAGAGGGCAGAGTGTGAATGCCGTAACAATATTGATGCACTGCCACATTGCATCCGTCACAAAAGACAATAGGATCGTCGTCATACGACTCACTTTCAAGACAAATAGCGCAGTATTCGTCATCCACAAGCTCTGAGTCAGCCTCTTTTCGTTCACTTCGTTTTGCCTGCTGAAAAACAGTATCGGGCCAGGATGAGGACGGCGTCGTCTTTTTGAGCGTTCCAGGCTCCATCACTTTTATAATAGTGTCATCGTCCTTTAGATCCGTAAAGTTAGCCCCTCTTTTGTCAGGACCAAGAGTCCGTGCCACCTGGTTCATAGCCGCTAAATTAGCCTCAATCTTGATGTCAGCCTCATGCCTATCAGTTGAATCGTCATTAAGTGTAACTTTCCTTTCAGGAGAGGCTGACGAAAGCAACACAATCGAGTTATTTAATGCACTCTCATCATCACTGCGAAACGAAGGAATATGGGCTGAAGAAAGACGTTTCTCACAAGTACTTTCATCATTTTTTGACGTCTCATTCTTTGTATTACCAGAATCCATCGCATTTGTAAGTGTAGGTAACAACACAAATGAGAATGCGGACGAATCATCATCTTCGGCTCCAGACACCTCATTAATTTCAGACTGCCTTCGCGTTTCTGTCGCTAGCTCAATCAACGAGTGCTCATCACTTTGCGATTGGTTTTGAGGACATGCATCGACTATCACGTCATCAAATGTCAATTGACGCGTTCTACAATTTCGAGAAGCTCCTGCAAGAACCTTTGCGGAATCCGATTCTTGTCGCACTTCCTGCGGATAGAGAGAAAATACTTCATTAGATAAAGCGCTTGAAGAATTTAGAGTTTGAGATACGCATGCCTCTTTTTTGCTTAAGTTCTTTTGTGATTTGATCAAATCACCACCTGCGACAACCTGCGTCTCTTGTTCTTCCACCTTGTCCAAAATCGAGACCGTCGACATGCACACAGCTCGTGGAGTTTCTTGAATAGTGGAGTCTGGCTTACACTTCGCAGTTGTTGAAGTCCTAATTGGCACGCCGATACACTCTTCGGTGTCAAACATTGGCTGCTCATCCTTTCCAACAACAACAGGTACGAGCTGAGATGCTGAATCAACAAACTGCGGGCTAAAGTGCAATTCGCAGGAAAGCATCGACTCTTCCATCGGAGCTAACAAATACTTCCCTAGACTCGTGACATCAAGCTCAGCCGAGCCAATTTCATTGTCGAATTCCACACTAGTTAAGTTCGACCTTGATCGACGATACTTGTTGTGAGACTTTAACTGCAATGATCCACAGATACTTTCCTGACTTAAAGATTGCGCAGGATTGCCGATTGCTGCCAATCCCCTTTTCTCTTCGGTGTCAACACTCAGGCCATCTCCAAATTCAAAATCCTTTTCTAAATTTTCGTCGACACCATGTACCTTTCGAACTAGACTCTGCAGAATGAGCGACCGAGCAGAATATCTAACCCCATCTCTCTGAAATCTAGATGTCAAACAGCGCGTTCGACGTCGAAGTAAATGCGACCGATTACCATAGACGGGATACAATTTAGTTCGTAAGGTTGACGCAAAATTAGGTGGAAAGTATTTCAATTCTGCCACTGCTCGTTCAGCATCACTGAGCTGCCACAGATTAGGATCAAGTGCTGTTGTAAAGGATTTACCGCCAACTTGGGATGCGTGAAAATTCGGTATCTTCATTTCTAACTTTCTTAATTTTGGACAAATATTATCCGGGAGCATACGAGGACACTTCGAATACGTAAACCTGCTTTTAAAAGTCGTAAGCGCGCGACTTACAGTCTTTGACGCTGACGCACTTCGCGCCAACTTCTTCTGTTCTTCTCCTTCTGTCACAAGAACAATGACCTTGCCTACGCGCTTTCGACCAGTTCTACCCATTCGTTGAATCATTCGAACAGGAGACGTCAACGCATCAAATGAAACAATAAGATCCACCTCTCCAATATCTAAACCTTCTTCTGCAATACAAGTTGCCACAAGGACGTTGTATTCGCCCAGTCGGAACTTCCGCACAATGTCTTGTTGTACCTTTTGAGATTGACCTTTATTTTCTTTGTCTTTTCCAGACGCTCCTTGTCCAATGAAAGACTGTACATTCAATAAGGGTGCGAATGGACGTAACAAGGCAACAATTTCTGACACGCTTGCCCGATACTGCGTAAATACAATAGCTCGTGTGCTAGACTCTCCGGAAGTATGGCGCTGAAAGTGCTCCAGCAACACTTCACGCAGTTTGACAAGCTTGGGGTGGCTTGCAGTTGATGATGATCCATCAGCTATAATAGCAAGACTTTCTTCAAGTTTTTGAAATTCAGGAGAATACAGCATTTCTTTCTTAGACCACGACATTTTGCCTATCCTTCGTTCCTCAACCCAATGGATAATCTGGTCACGAAAACTGTTCAGTCCATGGCCAGTCAGTAAACTTTTGGCGTGTAGTAAACTCACAAGGAGTGCCAAGTCACTTTCTGCACTGCGATTTGAAGCGTAATCGGGGCTGTTCCTAAATTTTTCCCGCGCTTGTAGCACATACCAACTCGTAAGTTTGTCCGGGTTACTATTTTGAATAATTTGTTTACGCGAAAGACGCTGAATGATCGGTGTAAAAATTTTAAGAAATTGCATCTTGATCTCCAAAAGTTGGATACCCAGACGACAGACAATCACTTCCTCTTGCCGTGCATGAGTATACTTTCTTACATCTGGATCATCTGCTGATCGGCTTTCAATATGCGAGATTCGTAAGTTTGACACAACATCCTGAATGACATCGAATTTGGCTCCAGGTGTGGCTGAGAGCGCCAGTACGCGGAAGAATGGCGTTTTGGCTTCAATCTCCTGCACTACACAACAATAGGCGTAATTTCCAGTTGCCCGGTGCGCTTCGTCCACGACAACACAAACAAATCTTTCCGCATTACAGACACCGCGACGAAGATCATTTTGCAAACTTTGCGGAGTGCAGAAGAAGACGCGTCTTGTGTTCCACAAAACACGACGCATAGCTGGAGGCACATTTCCTTGAAGTTCTGCAGTATCTGATAGTGGTATACCCATGATTTCATGACAGGCTTGAATCTGCTGAGCTACTAACGGCTTTGTCGGGGCCATAAATACAATCATGCCAGTTGGGAACCAGCAATAGAAATTATACATGACAACTGCTGCTACAAGTGTTTTGCCCAGGCCTGTTGGTAGCGACACGAGTGTGTTGTGATATAATGCTTTTTCTGCTACGGTTAGTTGATACTCACGGATTGAGTAATTAGTTGGGAAGACAAAGTGCTGTGCAGCCTCATAGTCAATCTTGGGAAAGCTCGGACGCGTTTCAATGTCAAGGTATCTTGTCTTGGCAACCGGATCCTCCCCTGCTGTGATTTGAGATATCTGTAGAGGCAATACAGCCGGTGTATTAATACATGAAGTATCTGAACGTTTTGAAGTCAATACTAGCCCCGCACCAGCAGTCTTAGAGCACAGTAGTGTCTCTTGTGAGAGTTTTTCATTTTCATTTATAGCAAAGAGCGAGTTGTTCGATCGTCTACTGTCTTGAGGCTGTGACAGTGAGAGTGATGTCCCATCAAACGAAAGACAAGCCTGCACCGTCTTCTTAACGGCGGTAGAAGTTCCTGGCGCTTCGTAAAATTGACTTCGGAGTGTACCGCACACTTGACATGCTGTTTTTGACGCATTGTTCAGCAATGTACACGACTTGCAGCTCCAATCTTCACCAAGAGGTGAAATATCAGCAGATTCACACTGTTTCTGAGCTTGATTTGAAGAACTGTGATTGTTTATATGATTCTTTTCAAGCGCCTCAATCTCTGAAAGTAATGCGTCATCCCATTTCTCTTCCTCCATCCTGTTTGATGACAATTTTTAGTGCAAAACACTCAATTTTTAATCAATTTTCTGATTATTTTCAACATTTTTACCAAAAAGGTCAACGGTTACGTCATGTCCGAGTGCGGCGTCCTATGCCGATACTTCTTTCAGCAGATGCTGCTAGAGGAAAATGACACGCATCTAGAAGAATTGGCATCGTCTATGATGCTCTCATCGCGACCTACACTTGCTGAGTTGCGCCGTAAATTCCCGTTTGAAGGCTCGTACCATTTTCGTCTTCAAGTTGCGCTGTCTGACGCATTGGGTAGCTATTGTTGGAGGGATTTGACGGATGAAAACCAAGCATTTCCAATTACCGGAAATGGAGAAGTTTGTGTGAAGGTATTGCAGCTTACATATGATAAAGACGGAGACAAGACGACAGTTTTCCAAAAAGACGTTGTAGACGTAGTTGAAGACCGACAATTTCTTGCCTTCTTTAATTGGCAAAGTAAATCTAACAGTGATGGCAATTTCATCCCACACCCACAACAAATGCCTCAGCATGATGTGGGAAGTGTACTATTTGGTGTTAAGAAGGCTCTTACCTCCAAAATGAAAGGATCTGCCATGGCACAGACATTACAAAAGCACTCGGCACAGATGTGGGAGAAAGTTACGGCAGCTGCTGCAGGTGTAGGAGTTGGTTCGAGTGATTCACCGCCTACAGCGACAGCTCTAGCACAGCTGGCCAAGGTCATTGGTGCGTTGAAGGCCCCGCTGCATACTGGAAACCACGAACATGTTGACTTGCTGAGGAGATTATGGACATCTTGTTTTGAAACGCAGCCCTTTGTCATTACCGGTCCCGAGTGGAAGCGACTGAAGTTTCATTCTGGCGAACCAATGCGCGAGATGCGGTGTTTACTTCCATTGCAGTGTCTTGTGCGTTTTCATGAGGCACATCGAACAGTAGCGCTGTCCATTCTTAACGACCAAAGCGGACCAGAAGGGTTTGAATACGCGCAAGTGGGGTCACAGATTGCTTACATGCTGGCTGATATATTGCATTTAAAAGATGGAAGTTGCTTAGGCTTAGAACGCCCATTTTGGAGGCTGTTTGAAGACCCGATGGCCTTTTATGAGCTTTATTGCATTTCTTTCCGTGCCTTTGACGCCTCTTGGAAACGCAACGCGACCAAGTCGTCCGACATTAACATCCACGTTAATTACGTTGGAAATTTTGCCCAAGAACTACTTCGTCGTGGCCCTGTTGACATGGCTAGTCTCATTGAGCTTGCTTATCAGTTGCAGAACTGGTAGACAAAATAGCGCCTGATGAAAATTGCAGAAATCATATACTTTGCTTTTCAGCTATAATTGCACTGCAAGCATTATTTTTATGAGCTCGTTGACTCCTGGTGCGTCCGAGCTATTAGCCAATTGTAGGTGTGGAAATGTCTTGTGAAGCTTGTTCATGACTTCAATGCGCTTTACAGGGGTGTCAATCTGAGCGAAGACTGCACTTTCTTTCACTTGATCCGCCTAAGAAAAGTTGGTTAGAAATTGTGACAAAACATTCTTCTTCAAGATCAGAACTACCAGAGTTGAGTCTTCAAAGCCTTGAACAAGGGTATTTTGTACGTCACGATACACAAAAACAGTACCAGAAGTGCTAATGCTCACAATCGTGGGGTCAATATGACCAGACGAATCCTGAATATTTGCTAAAGAAATATCAATACTAATGCAAATTTAATGTTGACAATAATAATTAGCTTACCACAGAACATTGAGCAACCTGGTAGCAGCATGCGAAATTGCACAAGTCGTTTTTCGCTTTGAATTGCGTACATTTGACCACTCCAAGTGCAAACGACAATCTGCAAATCAGCATTTGTGAACATTAAATTAGCGTAGAGAAACCTCATATCACCCAGCTGACGTACAGCATCGTGACGTTCTCCACTCGTCGCTGACATCTCGAGTTTGTCAGCGTTTACAACAGGCTCTGATAGCTGTAAAGATAAACAACGTTTTGTGACTGACATCAGAAAGCACAATTGCTACCAACATCGCACCAGTGCGCACCTGAATTTCCCAAAGCTTTTGTCCTGACGACGAGAATAACGATACTAGGCCATTCAATGACACAAGCGCGTTCATTCCTCGCTTTCCTCCTAACTCGATGTCATTTACAACAAAAGTAACGCTGTCATTGTCAGCTTTTGGGCCATTCCAAGGTCCGACATTTCGCACGCCTTCATTGTTAGGTCCAGCGATAGAAAAGACGGCACCAGAAAAGCATCTGGCTAAAACTCGAGTCGGCGTATCTGACGTCGCCGGCAGTACAATTAGCGCTTCAATCTCGCCATTTATTTCCAATTTTGCAATCTGAGTATACTCTGCCAGCTTAATCAGACCAGTCGTAACCTTATTTACTCATTTTTTCCTTCGCGAAAGTACCAGACGAACCTCATCAAAATTTGCATGGTCGCTATAGATGAATACACGTCCATCACGTGTAGCAACAATGACCTCTTTGTTTACGTGAACCACGTCACAGACATTAAGAGCAGCATTCTTGAATAGTAGCATCACATTAATAACATCCCCCATAACAATTCCGCTTTTATCAATATACATATTTCTCACAAATTCGGAGCACAATTGCAGCACTTTAACGCCTGCAACAGAGCGGAAGACAAAGCATTTGCCTTCTGCCGTCGCAACAACAATTCGAATCTGGGAATGCCCAGTTTAAATCAAATGCAACTCCTTCTTTCATCAAGCAGCACTCACATCTTCGGCAAAAGAGTTGTCCAAGGACATGGATGTCACGGATCCATTTACCTCGCAACTTCTCCAGAGTGATAGGCGATCCCCTATAATCTATTGATAGCAGCGTCAGTCTTGCTTTAGACGACAACAGTGAATACGAGGAGACTCCGCACCTTAAATATTGAGACTTTACCCATTAGAGTTCCAAAAAGCAATTCCGTCGCTCCGTCGCCGTCCACGTCGCCCACTGCGTATGCATTGACCAAAATCTTACCATCCAATTGTACAACATACGTCGGCGCTAGCTCTAGCTACAGATACCCAACGTCAACGTCAACGTCAACACGAAGTTTAAAATTCGATCTACATCTCCTACTTGTCGGTGCATTACAAGGCTACAATGCTAAGAATTAGAAGCCTGTAATAACTGATGCTTTAAATGTCACGGAGAAAAGTCAAAGAACAAGTTGAAGTTATAAGTTTTTAAAATCGATCCTGCTGACGTCACTTTTGCCATGCGACCGATCATTGCCCGTCGACTAAATGCACGTCTGTTCTCTCGCGGCATATCCATTGCGCATCATATCCCTTTGCTTCATGCAGTCTCACCCTTTGCATCAAGCAGTCAGCACACCAATTTCTCCTCTCTAGACAAAGGACCATTCACTCGATCCCGCAAGAGTCAACAAGGAAACATCCCTGAGCACACATGCGCAGAATTGCAGCTCAATCGCCTGGCAGTCATCGGTGGTGGAAATATGGCCGAGGCTATTGTCACGGGTGTGCTTTCAGAGGGGCTAATACCTAGTTCTAAAGTTGTCGTCTCGGATCCAAATCCGATTATGCGTAGCAAGTACGTTAAGCTTAACGTGGAAACACATACACGTAATAGCTCAGCAGTTAAAGACGCGGATGTGATCTTGGTGGCAGTTAAGCCCCAGGTGGTCGATGATGTAAGTCAAGTCGTTGGAAACCTTACAATAAGTCCGTATGTTTGTTTATTTTATATTATCATCATGACAGGTGCTGCGAGCGGTGAAAGCAGCAATGGACCCAAATGCATTAGTTATTTCTGTAGTTGCTGGACAAAATATCAAGCAGCTACAACAGCTTTTGGGACAAGACAGCCACATCATTCGCACCATGCCGAATACGCCAGCCATGATTGGAGAGGGCACAACGGTGTGGGCGCAGTCTGCTGAAGTCACGAGTGCACAGCACGAGCTAACGAAGCAGATTCTTGGATCATTTGGAATTGAGGTATGGCAAAGAAAGAGGTAGATTACCAAATATGTTTACTTACAACCGATCGCGTGCTGCTTTGAAGGTGTTTGTAGACGATGAGAATGCTTTGGACATGGCAACTGCGCTCTCTGGATCTGGCCCGGCCTATTTCTTTCTTGTTGCTGAGGCAATGATTGATACAGGAGTTCATATGGGCTTTTCTCGAACTGTGGCTACGGTACGTAGTGTTGCCATTGCTTGTTTAAGCGATTATTTGATACTTACATAAATTCTTGCAGAAACTGGTCCAGCAAACGATGCTTGGATCTGCGCTATATATGCAGTCAGAGGATGTGCACCCGGTTGAGCTGCGAAATAACATCACAAGCCCAGGAGGTACCACCGCTGCTGGTCTTTATCGCGCTGAAAAAAATGGATTTCGCGCAGTCATCGCCGACTCCATTTGGGCCGCATATGAGCGCTGTCTTGAGCTCGGCTCCTCCGAGCCTGTGCAGCGCCAGCGTCCGCGCTCTTGAGCTCTAGAAGCGATGCTGATTTTTGTCTTGGTATTTTCAGCAAAAAAGGAAGTCTTTAATTCAAAAGTGCACAAATATAATATAAGCAAAAAAAAGTCTGGCAGCATTTTTTGGTGTGTGCAACTACCGTGCCGATCGAAAACCGGAAGTGGAACCTTTTCAGGTGCGCCAGAAACACTGGTTGCTTTAAGAAGGAAAAGAAAAATCTCCTCGGTGCTGAGCAGATCCAAAGTACTCGTAGATATTTTGTTGATGAAAGTACAAAACATTCGGCTGGAAGAAACGAAAGGTTAGGAATCCATGCAAGGTCTTTAGATAAACCCTTCACGAAGAACCGTCAGGTCCCACTAGGCAAACTGGAAGAGCCGAGGCCAATCTATTTCGTGAAGGCCGTAGTCAATGTAATCCACAACTCAAAGAAGCAAGTTTCTAGGAGAGGTGGGACTCACAGCTCAGAGTTATTTCATGTTAATATCAACGTTCCGGGCTTTGCCTGCTGTGACTAATTCTGATAAATCCAGGAGCGTCGTGCTATTATGTGTGACGCGCTTTTGTCGAAAACAGTAAAAGTATGTGGATTTATTAAAAATGCCGAATAGCGCGTTGATTTAGGAATGTGCAAGATGATAGCAAGTTTTCACTTGGCAAGTCCAAGACTGTTTAGTTCCCTACAAACTACCAAGTGTGTTAGGAATTTGCGATCTTCCACTTAAGCAGCTATTTACGTTGCATTTTGAATCCGCACACACCTAAGTTCAAAGATAAACGTATCCAAAGTCGTGCAGATCCTAAAGAACCAAAACTGTGGGAGTCTTCGAGAATATGCGCTCAGATAGCTTATATGCCAACATAGAGAAGTGTGTCTTTTGTCTTGACGAAAGCCCATCTCTAAGATGCTTCCTTAGGAAGCATGGAAAGCAGGCAGCATCATCATAGATCAAGTCATGTTAGATCGTCGCTTCCACAATCCCCAAAACTTCAACAAAACGTTCAATCCTGGTCAATCAATTGCGCAATTACGATGCAGACTATGCCGACAAGCCAAGATCCCACACCAATCTTCTTAAAAGGATATTGAGGTACGACAGAAATGGCGGTCTCTGAGGCTGTGAAAGAAGGTTTTCTGTGTGCCAAAATATGCAATTTTCGGCGCTTCTGCCTTTTTATAGGCTGTGATATACTCCTAGCCGATGCCAATGGGCATGAACGCCTGATTTAGTGTCTGAGTCTCACCAGCTAAGCGGTAGAATTTTTTTTGTTATCTTCAACAAGAAGAGTATGCCTTCATCAAAATTAAGAATTACCTGCTTGGCCTTAAGCCATTTGCGGTCCATACAGATCATGCGTCTTTGAGCAGTGCGACGTCGTCACCAAATCTCTTGTAGAGAGCGAGATAGTTATCCTTCATTGCCAAATAAATCTTGAAGTGCGATACAAGCCGAGTAAGTTTGATGTGATAATGGATGCATTTTCGTGTTGCTCCAAAAATAAATTCACATGTTGTTGCAACATAGCTAATTTGGTGACAGCGTACGAATTAGGCGCAACCTGTGTTGCTACGTCAAATTTTTGGAGAAGAAAGGAGTCTAAAAGCTCAGATATCGGTTTATTCAAGCGCGGATGTGCAAGCTAATGATATGTCTCATCCCATGGCTTGCTTTGACGAAGCACTGATCCCATGACACTCAGTGTGTAGTGGTGCATCCTAACGAGGACCAGAAGTATAAAAACATGATACGCTTTTGACTTTTCCCGAGAGAAAGTTTTATTGCCCGGCAAGCGCGAATCCCTACATATATGTGGGTAGGAAGCGTGCCAATTTGTATAAGCCTACAGCATGCGGTGGTGCTGTTGGTAGCCTACTAGCTTTGGCAGGTTGCTGGCAGCCCGACAGTATGGACTTTGTATACCGTCTTGTATAAGATGTGTTGGTTTTACCGGCGTTGTGAGTTTTGTGAGCCGTCTGAGCAATACGGCTAAGCTTAATGCTGTCTGCAATACCAAAATTTGTAACAGAAAACAGCAAAGCTGTTCCTTGAGATAAGTTTCGTCATCATAACTTAAAGGTGGCCATTTTGTCGAATCAGGATCCACGATTTTCTGCAATATTTGGCAAACATTGTTCATGGTACTCAGCACCAGATTGGATTTGTCAGCTGCTGACAACTGAAAGACAGATTGTTTGATGGAATGCGCGAATCGCCTGTTGAAGGATTTTCTTCAGAACACTAGTGTGCTGGAGTGAGTTCCATATGACTGTTCTTGTCGGGAAGCACCTGGGTATCCTTACCTATATAGTAGGAGATCGGATGCGAAGACGGCGCTTTCTCTGAAGGCTTGTTAAGCAGTTTGTTTGGGCGCACGGGAGGGTTTCTCAATGCAAATATACTCTTACGAGTTGACACGGTAAAGTGCGTAGGGAAGCGTTAGACTTGTTGTTTGTGATGAGTTCACTTTTGCGCAGTATCTTGACACAATCAATGTATTTTGAGCTCCAGCTAGTCTGCATCTTAGTTGAAGAGGGTGTTTTGGAGTCTATACTGCAATCTTATATACTCATCTCTTACGCCTTCATAAAAACTGGATCAAAACGATACGGTTCAATTATACGAATTTCACGTTACACTTTGATGTTATCGTGAAAAGTCATGAGTGACAAAATATCAATGCTCATAAATACGATGAAACGCCAAGAGAGAGAGGAGTCCGTGGTACGCGTGAGTTGCTAGCCGCACGTCAAAAACGCAGGCAAAATCAATTCCAAGGGATGACAATATTCGAATTAGACTAAAGAATTCCTTAAAATACGTATTCGTAACATAGCAGAGGAAATCGGATTACAAGGGAGGATCTAGGTTACTTTCCAGGTGGAATCGTACGTATGGAACCTGCAGCGGGGCTTGCCGTAGCTTTGCGCTTCCGTCACCGTCCTCATCGAGAAATGTGGGTGGCGGACGGTGACGACCGGGTCGACCGCCATCCGGTGACTCGTGATGCTCTTCGATCCCATGAGGACTCTTCGTGATCGGAGATCCGCTGAGCGTCGTGCGCCGGCTGCCTCACCTTGAGGATTACCGCGCTCTGTCGGAGCGATCCCTAGCCGTGGTGCAGGCGAATGCGTCGCTGCATGCGACGGTGGAGCGCTTGGCGCCATTAGAAATGGAAGCTGTTGCACTCCGTGCTCAGAACCAGTTGCTGATTCAGCTTCTGGATGGCCGAGGGCCCGTGGGATCTGCTCCGGTGCCGACGCTACCGCGTGCACTTGCGCTGGATCCCGGAACGGCTTGAGCAAGCTTACGTAAAACATCGGGTGGATGCGCATCCTGAAGATAACAGGGGCTGCATGTGCAGAAAGGGTTTAAGAATTTAATAAAATCCGGTCTCCGACCTTAGCGCTTTCTACTTTGCCTCTTCCTTTCTCATCTGCATATTCTTTCTGCAGGTCTTGGCTTTCAGCCATTGCATCGCGAATGTATCGTAAGACACCCAGTCTGGTAGAGTCATCGACTTCTTTGCGAATGATGAGGGGGCTGACATCAGCTAGCCGATCGGCTATTCCTCCCTCACCAAGCCCTGAGCCATGGGATGGCGGCGTTAGCGGGACGCGAGGATGAACCAGCCCATTCACGTAGCATCACTTAGCCGGTAGACGGATGCACTGCATTGTTCAGCGCAAGCTGTACGAGTGGCAACATGCTCCATCACCTCGGCGTCTCAGCGCAGACGCTACGAAGAACGTCTAACGTCTCCGATGACTCGGTTCACCCTTTAGGTTTGACAATCGGTCTGCGGATGATCCGCGGTGTACATATCTAACTTAGTGCCTAGCACTTTGAGATAGTCGACCAGAATTTTCCCGTTAAACGGGGGTCTCTATCAGAGACAATCGACTCTGTGAGTCCGTAATGTCGGGAAACACGTATCACGAACAGCGTTGCTCTACCGACCCTGTCGATGATGTCTGGCACCGCCGCCAAGTGAGCCATCTTGCTCAACCGGTCGACGAATACCACGACACCCGTGTTGCCCGCCGAAT